TTTGGTTTTGGAATGGTATTCATCAATCCCAAATGTTTTGTGCATCCTTCTTTAACTTTTCAAGTTAACAGAATTGGGCCTCTCTGTGAACGTAAGATAGAGCCTTGTTTCTATGACATTTTCATTCCAAGGAAGCATGTGGAATTCTGACAGCCCTGAGCTCCGTCCAGTTATTTATCTGCTTCACGTTTAAAACTAACAAAAGGGAACTGGCCCTATTTCCTCATCGATATATTTAGCTGGTGGAGAGCTGAGTACATGTTGAGCAATAGAAGTTTGCTACTTGTTTCCTTTGCAGCTTGTCCGTTAACTTTATTTTGGAAAACGGGTCGTTCTAAAAGATCTATTCTTTCAGTGTGGCTGTTTTTTCTTCTTCTGTTGTTTCAATGCCTTGCTTGTTTTCTTCCTCCTGATTTTGTTATGCTCAGCGGAGTGTTGCTGGCAGTGTATGCCAGTGAGGCTCCTTATACAGAGTACGATCACTGGCCCATCTCTTCCAGTGCGGGCTGCTCTGACTTAAAGTGACTCTCTCTCGCCTTGTAAGTGGCTTGGCTTAGTGGTTAGAGTGCTGTACTAGGACTTTAGAGACTAGTTCAACTCTCTGCCCAGCTATAGGAGGTCACTGGGTTTTGGGCAACCTTGAGCCTGTCACTGTCTCTAGCCTAACCAACCTCACAGAGTTATTGTGGGAAGTGAAATGGGGAAAGGGGAACTGTGCAAGCTGCTTTGAGCTCCTTTGAGGAAAGGCAATGTAATGAATAAAATCAGTAAAAGGCCTTTCCTAGTCCTTCTACTGAAGAGCAAAACAGAGAAATACTCTCTGGACAACTAGCACTCGGAAACAAATGAACGGTCAGGGGAATAATGGTAAATTTTTACTAACACACACACACATATACATACAATGTGTTAATGAATCAGAGCAATATCAATGCAGTAATTAAAACACCATCCACATGTTAAGTGCTATTTTAAGTGATTTGATCCATTTTAATGCAGTCACTCTGAATGTTAAGAAATGCCACAAAAGAAGACTTATGAGTTCAAACATGTCTATTTTAAGCAATTATTCTGGTTAGGGTGTTTGTAGCTAGTCACAGCTTTCACTAATTATATCATTTAGTATTTATACTCTCTTCCAAATACTTGTGAAAATGTCATGTGCACTAGTTAATTCGTGTTTGTAGTTTACTTCAGCTCTTGACCAGAGGTTGTTGAAAACTGACCCTGGGACCTCCTGCAGTCAATGCATATGCTTAACCCCTTTAACCTGTGGCCTCTTTCCAAACCAGGGTTGGGTGTATTTGTCCTTCAGAAATGCTGGATTTTTATACCTTAAGCAAGAGGTACATGGGTGCTTTAGCTGAGATTCCTGCCTAGCAGAGGGTTGGACTAGATGACCCTCGGTGTCCTTCCATCTCTACTGTTTTATGATTCTATGATCATGATTGCTTGTGGGAAGGGCCAAAGAGCTATGCAGGGTGCATAGAAATCTGGGGGTATAGTCTCTGGCTTGAGAAAGAGAGAGAGCCCCAGATATTGCTTGCGCATCTTAAGGATAGCTGGACCCAAGTTAATTCAAAACCTAATGGAAGCAAATAATTTCCCCTTAATTCCTCTTTGCTCTGTGTTGCAGACAGAGCCTTCTTTGTATCCAGAGTTCCCTGATGAAAGGCCAATTGTGGCACTGAGTTGTGTTAGGTTCTGTTTATTTTTAGTAAGATATTCTTCTTTACACTGCTGTGATTTAAATTTTTGCATAAGGGCTACATTTTTTTTAAAAAAAACCAAAGAGCTGAGATTCTTCAGGATCCTGAATTCTCTTCCCAAGACCTACTTTCTTTGCCAGTGGGTTGTTTGCCCAGAATACGCAAAGCCCCTGAACATGACAAAATCGTGCAACCATGGAACAATAATTTCAGGTGAAAGAAGCAAGACTCTGGGAGTAAATCCTTGCTTACAAAGAAGAGGAGTTTATGTTCCTTTTGCTGAATTTGTTTGTCAGGGTGTTCCTGGAACAGGTCCCCCCCACCCCCACTTCTTCTTAAGGTGCTTATTTCCATTCCAGAGAAGGTTCCTTTCTAGGAAGCAACTCTATGGTGGCTGTTTCCTGTATATTGACAGTGGCTGCTTGCAAGGAATCATGGGAAGGATTTGAAAACACAGTAAATAACTGTATGAGGCACCTCTCCTTGACGTCCATTTGGGTGCGAGCTGTACTTCATAAACATTAAAAAGGAGAAGAAACTGGGGGCAGCGGCTGGGAGAATAAGGGCATTTGGATTATCACAAGTCATGTATGTTGTATACAGGAACTCCTCTGTCTAGGGGAAGCCATCATGAAATGCTACCTCCATTCTGAAGTTTATTTGGCCCCTGTTCTGGCAAACGTTTGGAATAATTTGTGAACATGGCCAAACTGGTGATGCTTGTAGACTGAAGAGAGATGTGTGGGTGATCTAATATTGCGCACAAGTGGATTTCCAGTTGAACCAACAGAGTGTCCCCTTCTTAAAGTCCCCTCTCCCACTCCAGAAGGTCTCCTAGTTTATACAGAACAGATTTTGGGGGAATATGTTTGAGGAGCCTGTGGGCATCGGGGAAGTAGACGCCTGTTCTGCCACTGGGTAGGCACAGTTGATCTGAGTTTAGGCACTACATATTTTTGTGGCATTTCTGTAAGGGCAGGCACTTGAATCTGACACAGAGGCTGCCTTCACACCATACATGTAAAGTACCTCCCCCTGCAAAAGAATCATGGGAACTGTAGTTTAAGGGTGCTGGATATTGTAGTTCTGTGAGGGTTAAACTACAGTTCCTTTGGTGGGGGGGTTGCTTTGTGGATCCATACTGTGGATTTAATGTTTATTTCCTTGGAGTGCTTCAGCTAAACTTCCTAGGACAGTTCTCTTACCCTGAGGCTTTTACTCTCTGCAGATAAGTTGTGGTTCATTAATTTGTGGAATGGCCCAGGTACCCTTTTCGTTTTCAATTTGCCATGTTTCCAGATATCTAACATCTGTATTTGTTTAGAGGCTTTCTTTCAGCTGAGAAGAGGGCTTTTGACTGGTCAGTTTTGCTAAGCAAACAGCTCCTCTGTTTGTAAACTGTCCTTGATATTTTTTCAGGCACTGGCATTCCTGCTCTGCTGTTCATTGTCTGCCATAAGCCTCTCATGCTGCCTATACGTGACTGATAAATCACAACTTTTTCAAGGTAGTTTTTTCCACTTCCACAGAATGTAACTGGGCCAGCTTATTTGTGCGGTGGAACAAAGGCTTATGACAAACCAATCTTCTAATGTCAACAAGCAGTGCAGACTCTTAAAAACGGTTACCTGGAGAATGGTTGAAACTCTGGCAGTTTCCAGGTTAGGGTGTAGCCAGAATTCTAATTGCTCATTGTTGACTTTTCACAAGGACAGTAGCTGGTGAATTCACATCAAAGGGGGCCTTTAGCCATAGATACAATTCCCTGCCAGCTAGAGCTGTTGGCTTGCTGGGGGGAACTGCAGAACAGGGATCTGCATTGGGATAGTGAGGTCTTTATGCATTTTGCAAATGCTACTTTGTGGGTCCATAGCAATTCCCTTGTGTCTCTCAAACTGCAGCAGATAAAAGGGTCTGAGCAAAAGTTTCTTTTCAATAGTCCCAAAGACTGCTGAGTACAACTTCTAGTCGATGTGGCAAATGCTTATTATAACATGGTTAATTAATTGCTCACATTAGAGCAATGTTTCTTAAATATTAGTCCTCTGAATGAAAGAACAATCCTGGTTTTTGAGACAAGTTCAGAGAAATTTCAAAAGGATATCCTTCTAAAGTTTTTTTATTTGGTGTCTCTGCACGTGGCTTTTTTCTTTTCGTGTCATTTCCTACCCACCTAAAATCCTCTGGGCTGCAGTGTTGAAGGCTCTTCCAGAGGCAGCAGAGGTGGTTTCCAGACAACTGCTCAAGCCCAAATGCAGTTTTCTTTTACATGTGAAGTGCAGACCCTTGTGTTGTGACATAAATTGCATTGGAGATGTGTTCCATTTTCAAAGGGGGGCTGCTGTGCCATGTGGGGAAACATGATGGAAAGACAGGAGGCAAATTCCACCATTGGATATGTTTTAAGTTGAAAGAAAATGTTTCCCTGGGGTAGGTTGTCTTAATGACCATAGAACAGTCTCCCCCAACTTGGTGCCCTCCAGATGTAGTTGGATGACTGATTGTAGTTGAAGTTCAGCAACATCTGCAGGATCATAGGGTGGGAAAAGGCTGCCCTAGAATGTGTGGCTTCTTGTAGGGAAGAGTGATGCCCCATCTTAGGCTTACTTTACACCTTTCACAGTGAGGAGAACTAAACATTGAAAATATTCTTCTGAGCTGTTTTCACAAAAGTCTTGCTGGTAGCATTTTCAAGTCTAAGCTAGTTGGACCATGGTGTCTCTTTGAGGGCTTGGCAAGTTTGGCTACATTCTATGAAGCTTGGTTTTAGTGAAACACAAAGTGTTGAGGAGACAATCCCCTGGTGAACTGGTCAAAGCTTTGGGGACAGGGTTGAGGACCCACTGACTTTCTCATAAGTACTTGGAAGATCCCTGCTCCTGCCCACCTAGCAGGTCAAAAGCACGTCAAAGTGCAAGTAGATAAATAGGTACCGCTTCGGCGGGAAGGTAAACGGCGTTTCCATGCTCTGCTCTGGTTTGCCAGAAGTGGCTTAGTCATGCTGGCCACATGACCTAGAAGCTGTACGCCGGCTCCCTCGGCCAGTAAAGCAAGATGAGCGCCGCAACCCCAGAGTGTTCCGCAACTGGACCTAACGGTCAGGGGTCCCTTTACCTTTACTTGCAAAATAGTCCTTTGGTTTTGCTGTACTGCATGTAACTGTTGGTTATAAGTGTTTGGGGGCGGGGAGGGAGGCTCGTTTAATTTCATTGTACACAGGTTGTACAGTGACAATAAAGGTATTATTATTATTATTATTATTATTATTATTATTATGGTTCTGTTTTCCAGCACTGGAAGTGGTCAGTCATGGCAGGCGATGCCATCATGGTGATGCGAGGACTGGCAAAGCTCAGCAAGGCAGTTCTAGAAACACAGACGGTACAGCTTCGGCAAGTTGTCCTTGGTGGTGATGCAGTAACCATGGTCAGGAGCTTCCAGGCCACTGCTGAAGAGCAGTTCAGTGCTGCCATGGGGAAAATGCAGGTAAGAATGTGTGTGTGTGTGTGTGTGTGTGTGTGCGCGCGCGCCCCCCGCCATATCAGTAAGCATTTAGCCTGTTTTTGGTTACTTTTCCTAGCCTCTTGTCAGTGAAATGCATGTGAGGTTGCAATCATATACACATTTAACTGGAAGTAAATTGAGGACTGCAGCCTGTAGCAGTTGTCAATTTATGTGTCCCTCTAATCCAGGGTAGTTCTCCAGATGTTGCTGAACTACATCAGAAAGCATGGCCAACAGACAGGGGTCTTGGGAGTTGTAGTACAGCAATAACTGACCAATGGCTGCTGTAGTCTCACTACAGTTGTACCTCTGGTTACGAACACTTCTGGTTACGCACACTTCAGGTTACGAGCCCTGCTAACTTGGAAGTAGCTGCTCCTGGTTGCAAACTTTGCCCCAGGATGTGAGCGGGAGGTGTGCGTGTAGCAGGAAGCCCCATTAGTAAAAGCTTGCCTCAGGATAAGAATGGTTTCAGCTTAAGAATGGACCTCCGGAACAAATTGAGTTCATAACCAGAGGTACCATTGTATTCTAGAAAGTTGACATAACTGAAGGTGCTGTTGTTTAAAGATCTGGCAAAAACTTTTGCACGCTGTGAATTTGGGTAATAGAAATGGAAATATCTTATTGCTGGATCTTTTGTTTAGTTTGTTTCTTAAAATTTATCATCCCACAGGCTTTCTCGGCATCTGACCTCATACAACCTCATACAACCCTAAAAACAATATTTAAATAAATCACATGCCCTTTTGAAAGTACATATTATTTTGATTTCAGGCAAGTTGATATCAGGAAGGGCAAGAATCAGAGAGGTGAATTAAAGTAGAATAGAAGGTGACTCAAGGAGAAAGAAATTGAGCAACAAGAAACCCTAACCTCAATGGCTATGTCTGTCGGTGCCCCTTTTGATGCGGGTTCTGCTTGTGCTCCCCATAGCAGCTAGCTAAAATTTAAAAAATGCACATTGATTATGTGAAATGCAATTATCGTCATGTGTAGTTCAGCCCTTGGTGGCCTATGTATTATTTTTCTTTAGCAATTGCTTGGAGAAGAGGGAAGCTGCCTTTTCCATGGATGTGCAATGTCTGCCTAAAAAACCTGTAGTTATTTTTGTTTCCTACTGGGGGTGGGGGTGGAAATGTGAAGTGTTTTCCAGTAAATTACTCTTTGTTTTTGGTGGTTTTCCTGCCAACTTCTGATACTTGCAGCCTTTTCTAAACTATTTTTTATTAATGTTGGAAGAGAAGTGTTTCCATTGTGTTACCTCTGTGGCGGTGTAGTTAAATCGGCCAAGAGGTGTTGTTAAATGGCATTCTGGAAAAATCTGTTACCGGGACACCTAGTTCTCACAATGTAGAATATAAAGACCTTTTAATTTATTATTACTCTTCCTTTTTTTAAAAAAAGGCTTCCAGCTTTCAAATTTTCAGAGAGATCTTTGCCAAAGGTTTGGAAAAAAAGAGGGGAAACTGGAGAGAGTCTCCTATTGTGAAAGAAGTCTGAATCATGATACAAATCTTTGGAAGCACTGAACGTGTAACTTGAAAAAAAGTGTTTTACAAAATAGGTGTCCTAATCAACACTGCTCAGTGGTTGTCTCCAGTCACAAGCACATTAAGCAGCTGATACATGTAAATATATTATTTGTTGTGTGCATGAAACATACTAGATTTTTACACCAATGGCCCATGGTCACAGGATAGGGTTAGCCTATGTAGACTGAAAGAGAGATATGAAGGGGAACTGCTAGGCTAGACTTCCTCAACCCAATGCTTCCAGATGTTTGGACTACAGTTCCCTTCAGCCCCAGCATCATACAGCTGTTCTGGTGGGAGCTGTAGTCCAAAATATTTGGATGCACTAGACTGGGGATGGCTAGGATGGCTGTTCCCTTCATAGCTCTCTTTCAATCGGGATTATGCCTCTTTCCTGGCATTATGTGGCCCACCCAATCCATTGATAAAACTGCTGAGATCTACAACGTCTCAAAATAGCAAGAATAGCAATTCATTATTGTGCAGTGGGTTGAATCCAAAGTTCCCATGAGTGCATTTCTGTTTGATGGATTCTCTGCTGAAGGAAGGAGGTCAGGAGGGAAGTGACTGTTGCCGATTCCTCCTTCCCACTGCCCCCCCCAAGCTGCTCTGAAAAAATCCAAGGCCCCCTGGAACTGTGCGAGAGGTGATGTGGTGGGTGGGACTGCATGGGGAATGGGTAGGAGATGATTGCCTATCTCTTTCCTCAAGCAGAAGCTTCCACTGAATCGCAGAAGGAGCTCTCTGGATCCCACTCATTATAAACATAGGTTGATGTACACCATTAAGCACATTTGTGCAAAACGGCTTCTGCTTCTAAGGAGGCATACTGACGGAAGTGGCACACCTGGTCCTGTCACGCCGCGGGATGAAGCAACCCTGCTTCAGGAAGCATTTGGGAAGTGAGGGATAAATGAAGACAGGAATTGGGGTCGGTGGAGGACAAATACCAAAAGTGTTGGCTGTAGAGAAGGGGTGGTGGCGGTGGCACCATCACTTGGAGTGAATTATCAGCATATTGCATACATTTTGGTTCTTTTATATGTAAGTCTATTTATAAACCACTAAATCATACAAATATCAAGAGACTGTATTATAATCATGATTATAAAATCATTACTGTAAAAGTCTTAATTATAAGATCATAAAATGCAGGAATGACCAACAATTCTCTAAAAATACTTGCTGATACAAATAAGAGTAGTTATTATTATTATTATTACAGTGGTACCTCTGGTTACGAACTTAATTCGTTCTGGAGGTCCGTTCTTAACCTGAAACCGTTCTTAACCTGAGGTACCACTTTAGCTAATGGGGCCTCCCGCTGCCACTGTGCAATTTCTGTTCTTACCCTGAGGTAAAGTTCTTAACCTGAGGTACTATTTCTGGGTTGCGGAGTCTGTAGCCCGAAGTGTTTGTAACCCGAGGTACCACTGTATTATTATTATTATTATTATTATTATACCACCCATAGATCTTGGGGCTGTTCACAACACAAGACATTGAAATATCAGAATTTGTAGGTGTGTGGAAAGTGTTTTGTCTTTTCAGGAAGGGAGCAATGTGAGTGACTGTGAGAGCAGTTTACACCTTATTTTTTGGCTGAGGAAAAACACCTTTCAATGTTCTGTTTGCAGGATCTGGGCAAGCAACAGGAGAACTTGAAAGATATTGGTGAGGACTTTGGAAAAGACGAGAGCTTCTCTGAATCGGAGCTGGGAGGTGCTGCAAAGGACTTCTACCCTCCCCCTCTAGAACACCCTCCCAAGTCTGGTGGTGCAGAGGGCCCGTCTCACTCGTACGTTGCCGGAGGACCTTTACCAAACGTCGGTGAGAGCGGAGACCCTAGTGTGGGTTGGAACCCCATCTCTGCCAAAGTGAATGCAAAGCTCTTTGGAGGCTTTAGGGACCCTTGGAATCCTTCTGCTCCTGCTTGGGGGCAAAGCCGGGCTTTTCACCAAGACCATTCCTCGGTGGGCGGACTCACGGCTGAAGATATTGACAAAGCCAGGCAGGCGAAAGCAGATCCACAACAGAAACCATACAAACAGATGGTACGTAGGCTGTGTAACACCACTGGAAAATAGGAGTTTGTTTTTTTAAAAGAGTGTTATCCTTTCTTTAAAAACCAAACCAAACCAAAACCCTGCCCTGCCAAACTTCTGTGCGATGAACATGTTTGGGTAGTAGTGGGAGCAGTGCATTATTTTCCTTTGTTTTTAATTATCTTTGAGGCATGTCTGCTGCTCAACTGGTAACCACATGGGAAATATGCCAAGAAATGCAAGTTCCTTTTCTCCCAGGTCACTTTGGGAAACCAGGCCACGCATTTCAGTACCAATACTGAGAGGACACTCTTTAAATTTAATCTTCCCATTTTAACAGGTGGGGAAACTGAATAACTTGCCAAAGCCTGTGACTTTCTTAACCTATTATTTTCCTTGGAATAATCTCGTGGTACATGTCTTGTATGACACTCAGATGGGCATCCATTTACTGGAGGGATGCACAGACTCCCAACACTAGGTTAATCAGAGAATGTCGAACGTGTGGAGATGTCTTTCCTCAGTAGGTTCTCTATGCTCCCTTTCAGTGACCTTTCGGTGGGCAGAAAAGATGTAACTGGTTTCTTTGGTTTGTAGTTGTAACTTGTTTTGTTTTTATTGGTTTGTCTGTTTATTTTAATTTAACATATGAATTGTTTCCCATTAAAAAAACATCCCAAGGTGATTTTAACAAGGAAAACCCATCAACACTAAAAACATACTTAAAAACAATTTCAAGTCTAAAAAAATAGGATAAAAAACACCTTCACTTAAACGGTTTGCTGAAAGTAGAAAGTCTTCAGTAGGCACCAGGAAGACAATAGAGCCTACACTTGTCTGATGTATACTGGAAGGGTGTTGCAAATATTACGTGCCACCACACTAAAGGCCCAGTTCCTACGTCATATGGAATAGAGCGTCTGACGAGGTGGGCCTTTCCTGCGGATAAGTTGGTTTACTGTTGCTTTTATACTGTCAGCCCTCTTGCAGGTCTGCTTGACTGAAAGGCACACTAGAGAGAGGAGTTAAAATAGATGATAATCACATTTTTGTTCAGCTCTGCTTTTCAAAGTGAAGAGAGCTGTATTGTAAATATCCTCTTGCAATTAAGCAAGGCGGGCTAGCAACTGTTCATTTGTTTAGAGAGTTCAAAATGCACCCCTAGAAATAGACCTTTGCTTTTTAATGTTTAACAGGTGTTCACCTTCCCTTTACTGGACACTCAATACTCTGCTAAATGCTTGGGATGGTTAAGAAGTTGTACTTGTTGTCGTGTGTTCTTGTGCTCCTCCAGCTGAAATTCAGAACAGGTGCAGCCCAGGTTTGCTTGCCACCCCCCTCTGCCTTGCATTTCCTCTTAAGAGACAATTCTGTGTGCTGGAAGTTGAGTAATTTTTCTAAAGCAGAAAATCCTAGCTTAAAAGCGGAACACTGGACTAGACTGTGCTCTACTAATCTCCCGAACCAAACAGTCTGACCTGGTTTAGTGGAGTTTCCTATGTTTCTTTGCAAAAGTTTTTGGCAGCTAGTTAAAAACATAATTAAAACAGAAATACAAATTAAAACAGAGCAGCATCAGAAGAAAAACCAAGCAAACAAATCAGTTCAGTACACATGAAGCTGCCTTATATTGAGTCAGATCATTGGTCAATCTAGCTCATCACTGACTGGCAAGTGCGTCTTCAGGGATCCAGACAGGTGTCCTTCCTAACTACCTGGAGATGCAAAGGATTGAATCCAGGCCCTTTTGCATGCAAAGCAGATGCTTTATAGTATACTCATCACAAGTGCTGCAGTGCACAACTCCTCTGAGTTTAAAAGGAAAAGAGCTGAACCTCTTAACACTCTGCAGCACAGTCAGTGGACCTGAGAATGTATTGACTCACTAACTTTGGAGGTGAATCTCTCTCAACTCCCCTACAAGTTGATGCAGGTTGGGTTTTTTGGGGTGTGTGTGTGTATAGGTAACCACATCAATGAGGGGTAAGCATGGGAGCTAAACACCATCAGTGAAGGGAGTTCTACCTTGTAGCGAGTTACAAAATTCTGGTTGAGATGGTGCTTTCTTGAGTTCTTTCCAATACCCCTTCAGATGTTGGAGGGATAGAGAAGAGGTTCTCTCTGGATGAACTCTGAGTCTAGGCAGGTAATCTTTCAGGTAGTCTTGTCCCAAGCCGCTACAGGCTTTATAGGTCACACCCAGCACTTTCAGAATAATTGGGTGCCAGTGTACCCCTATAGAGCTGGCCTTAAAGGTAAAGGTACCCCTGCCCGTACGGGCCAGTCTTGCCAGACTCTGGGGTTGTGCGCCCATCTCACTCAAGAGGCCGGGGGCCAGCGCTGTCCAGAGACACTTCCGGGTCACGTGGCCAGCGTGACATCGCTGCTCTGGTGAGCCAGAGCTGCACACAGAAACGCTGTTTACCTTCCCACTAGAAAGCGGTCCCTATTTATCTACTTGCACCCGAGGGTGCTTTCGAACTGCTAGGTTGGCAGGCGCTGGGACCGAGCAACGGGAGCGCACCCCGCTGCGGGGATTCGAACCGCCGACCTTTCGATCGGCAAGCCCTAGGCGCTGAGGCTTTTACCCACAGCGCCACCCGCGTCCCTTAGAGCTGGCCTTAATAGTACTTAAATTTTATTTTTAAAATTTTGTATTTGTACTCATGGTGCAACGTTCTTTTCTTATCTTGTGTGTGTGTATGGGAGGGAGGGAGGGAGGGAGGGAGAGAAAGAAATAGTGTAATTCAGATGCTGTGACTGCAACAGGGACCAAATCACCCACTCCCACCCACCTAAAGAGATCTACCACTAACAAACTATACCGGACATAACTAAGTAACTGGCACTACTTGGGGAATTACTTAGTGCAGGAAATGGATGTTGTGTATTCTGTGATTTGAAGACGTCGACGCCAGAATCAAAATTCTATACTTGGTCAAACGGAAATATTCAAGCTGTTTAATTTAGACAAATTATGCAACCTTTCTAAATTTGTGCATGTTCCACACACCCCTTGCAAATCCTGCCTTCAAACAACAAAAAATCTTCTTTCTCCCAGCTTGTCTTCTGTGATGTTGTCAGACATTGGTTGCCAGGCTCATTTATTTAGCTCTAAAAGTTAGAGGCATGGTAGCAACTAGGATTGATCTGGATGTGATCTCACACGTTCATAAATAATTACCGAACCAGTATTGTTGAAGAGAATGGGACTTAGTTCTTTGTAGACATGCATAGGATTGCATTGCCAGCCAATTTTCTGCTGCCAAAATCGAATTCTTGATGCATTTGCTAGGAAAATAGTTGTCCATATTAATGACCCATATTCTCCTAAATCCTTGCAGCTCAGTGAACGTGCCCGGGAGCGAAAGGTGCCAGTTACTCGAATTGGGAGACTCGCTAATTTTGGAGGTGAGTCTTTCTGAATTGTGGTAGCGAATAAGACTGTGAATGTAGATGCTTCTGAAAAACCAGGCAGTTTTCTGTGAACTGCATCGTGGATGTGTGTGTGTAGAAGAAACAGGGTTTCTGATTTATCTTTTTAGCAGGGATGCTGAAACGGAATGTCTGAGCTGATACTGCTTGGCAGTACATAGTATGTCGTTTTGACTGAACTACAAAGCCAAGTTAGAATTTGCTGGGGGAGGTGTGTGCTTGCGGTGGCATGGAGTGTTAAGGGTTCATTTCAGGTGCCATTCACTGATCTAGGCGGTATCATTTTGAACTTTGGCCCCCTTCTAAATTTATTCTCTGTTCTGGGCCCTACAAATCTCTGGAATTCATTTAGCCATCTGGCAATTGCACGAAACCATTGCATAAATGTTGCCCCCTGCTTTGTGTGTGCAAAGATTTAAGGAGCAGGACGCCGACTGAACACTTGCATTTTAGATGGCAGGACATTTTGGGCTTTAGGAAACGGTGGTAGCGGGCAGGGGAAGGAGGAAAAGAAGAGAACCTTCTGGGTTAGAAATGTCTGCATATCCCCTGCATTTCAATGCTAAATCTCTTCTGTTTTGAGGAAAGCAAAGAAGCTGCCTTATATTGAGTCTATCTAGCTCAGTATTGACCACACTGACTGGCAATGGCAGGGAAATTTTCCCAGCCCTACCTAGAGATGCTAAGGATTGAACCAGGGATTTTCTGCATGCAGTGCTGATGCTCTAGCACTATGTAACCTTTGGCTGCAAGTGCTGCAAGTTCCTCGCTTTCCCTAATCTGAAAGATCAACTAAAGGGGCACTAGGTGCCTCATTCACTGTATTCATCAGGAAGCTGGTACTTGAATAGAGAGACATGATGTACTTTAAAGGAAATTGACAGGAATGCAGCAGGATATAAACTTAAAACGATACAAAGAGATAGGAGTGTGTCCAAGCTGAGACTAGGAGCTCTTGAATAGAGGCTTTAAATATGAATAAAAGTGTGTTAAGTATTTCAGGCGTATGCGTAGCCCATCATCCCAGACCATCAGCCAAGGTGGCTACCAGCAGTTTAAAACCCTCAATAATGCATTTTTAAAAATCTAAGGAGTATCCCCCCAAAAAACCTCCCACGTCTTTCTTTGTATACAAACTTTTAAACAGTGTTATCCTGTGCATATCTGCTTGGAAGTAAGCCCTGTTGAGTTTAATGGGACTTCACTCCAAGGTAAGTGTGCGTAGCTTCCTTCAGTAGCAAGTTTATCCACATGGTCTTTGTTTTGCAAAAATGACTCGAAAGGTGTCAGAGATAGCATAAAATGATTCAAGAAACAAGTGGCTTTCAAATTACAGCATCTCCATCGCAGTGTTTTTCAGCCATTGACTCTTAGCCCAGTCAGTATTACTCCAAATACTTGGGGCACACATTTTGTTTACAAAGAGATACTATTCCTTTTAAGATTTACGTTTAAAAGGGAGGATTCCACCAGGTGTGGGACCCCTGCCCCTCCCCATCATTATAACACAACGAAGAGAACAGTTGAAGCTTGTGATATCCTGGCTCTTTAAAGGTACTTTTCTACATCTAGAACCAGACCAAGAACCCTCTCTGCACCTCTTTGAGCTCCCTGGAATCGCTAGCATCTTGAACCCTGTAGCATGATGAAAGGGTATCAGTTTCCCTCTGGCATGTTTGGTGTAGCGAGTGTATAGACAGCCAACATGCGTCCCTGCTGTTTTGTGACCTTCCCTATTTATAGCTAGAGTTGGCACCTCTCCTTAGTATTCATTTCTCCAAGATGAGATCTACTTCTATATGCCTTTTGAACGTTTCTGTCTATGTAGCAAAGTGTTAAGAAACTTGGCTTCTACAAGGCAAGGCACCTCAGGTCTGTGCAGTATACAATTTTACTTGAAGCAGATTCAAAGCTAGGGAACAAAGTAAACATTTCCCTGAGTTAGTACAAGAAATAATGCTATGAATGCTTCCTCCCTCCCTTGTAAATAAGTTTTGTGCTTGCAAACACTTTAATCCACATTGTTTAGATTGGGACCTCCTGAATACTTCCTCTTCCTTGAATATGCTCACTAATGGGAATGTCTGCTGAGTTATTGTAGATATTTATGGTTCTGCTGTGGAACAATTGCAGATTGTAGCTGAAGGAGTCCTTTGGCACCTTTAAAAGACAGATGTCAGGGGCTGAATCTTATTTTGTCATCTCTATATCAGCTATGGAAAGAACTCTTCAAGAATTCTCTGAGTTCAAGTGTTTTGTCACTTTTTTTTTTTGCAGGTGAGGAGTAGAAAGCTCTCTTCTGGGGCAGGGGTGGGGAATTAGATCCATCTGGTGGGTTAAACAGATAAATGATGTCAGTTGTATAGCAAGTGGGTGAAGATTGGCCAAAATGGTTTCACAGGCCAAATGGGGAGGCCTGACAGAGATGGGGAACTTTTTTGGCTCTGCACATCAGACTTATTATTGATATCAAGCTGTGTGCCACAAGTGTCTTCATGATCCTGTAGCAACAGCTTTCCCATTAGAATTTCCTCACACTCAAGCTTTAAATAGGAAATATATGCTTCTGTGCTGAGTTGAGAAGGTTTAGCTTTCGGTTAACTAAGTATATGCAGCAGATATTTTGAACTGTTGTCTCCAAAATGTGTCAGGAATGCATAGGAGGGGGATGACCGTTGTCTGAAACTTGACAGGCCAGCCTTATGAATTGACTCAAACAATTCAGCAGGGGTGGTGGGAGTGCTGTAATCTGCTTCTAGCTTGGTGTGGGAACACAAAAGTCACTCTCTGTACTTAAACTAGCTTGGTATCTTAGTCAGTTTCCTCTTTCTACTGTGAACAGCTGTTTGCTGAGGCTGTCTTTAAAAGAAGCTTCTCCCAAAATAATTTTTCTCAGTGTTGAACTGGGCTGATTAAAAGTAGTGCCAAGCTATGGTTTAGCAGTATATGAAAGAGGCTTTAAGGAGTCTCTGGCTCAGTGGCTTCCACCTCCTCTGCCCTCATGTACAGTGTTTCCCTCCCTTCCTTGTATGAGGCAAACCATAGTTTTCTGTTTTGCATAAACCAGCAAACTCTGGCTTGCACTTGTCTTAGAGTCCAGCATTTCAAAACTATAGTTTATTGACTTAGACAAAACAGAAGACCATGGGTTGCCTGCAGCCAAGGAAGGAAGGAGTAATTGTATACTACAGAAGGGGTGGAAGAAGTGTATAAGCCCAAGAGTTCTCCCTTAAAATACCAGTTTTTACAGCAGACAAAGCTTTGCAGCTTTGTTTTGGCATCCTAGTCCTAAACAGGCTGATACATAAGTAAGTCGTATTAAGATCAGTGCTATTTGTCAGGCTCTGTGTGCATAGGTTATTCACTGAGCACAGAATGTGATCCTGGATGTAGGATTCACCAAACCTTCCTGAAAATATAACTTCTCTTAAAAGTTCATATGGCCCTCCTTTCTCTGTTTCTGGTTTACTGGTCTCAGTAAAAACAAAAACTCTCCTCATCTGCTATTTAAATATAGCTGCAGTGCTTTTTATATATATATATAAAAGAGTTAAGATCAACTTGGTTTTGGAGAAGTGAAAGCAATTAAAAAAAAGTAATGTAAAGTCAGAAATTACAGAGCACTGAGATCTCTTTTAAAAATCAGATTCAGGCCCACAGTAATTGCAGTTGCACTCACTCTCTGAAGGTGTAATGAGGTCCTTGAAGAGTGTGGTGAACACAGTAGTTCTTGACTTAGAAGTCTGGATCCTGATGATGCTGGCTGGTGCTTCTGCTTGGTGCTGGGTGTCTGGAGTTAATTCTGTTTTATTTAACATTTGCCACTGAATGTGTGGCGCCGTAAGCTGCCCTGTGACCTGATCTGGAGGAAGGGTGGGCTACAGAAAGCCTGGAAATCAATGTAATGTGAACATAGCCTCAAGAGTCCTTGCGCAGGCATCATGCTCCCTCGTCACGTAACCATTCTCCCATGCAAACTTTCCTCGTCTTCACTTTTCAACGTTGGTTGGGATGTAGTGTGCCTTCTGCATCAAGGTTTATGTAACTATGTAACTTTAACCAGGGTTCACAAACACTGGCTTAGCCCAATGGTCAAGGATGATGGGCTTTGTAGTCCAACAACATCCCGAGCCTGAAGATCACTGCAAGCTGGCATGGTCTTAAGCGGCTTAGAGCTTTGATGGCTAGAACCAGCACTTTAAATTGAGCCTGGATACAAATAGGAAGCTAATGACATTGATGTGGGAGAGCCCCACTGCATGAATTTGTTCACCTGCACCACCCTGCATGCCTAGTATGGACTCCAGCCTTTGTTCAGTCGGGTTTCCCTTGAGTCTTGTTTCCTTCTGGCTGCTTTTGCTAAAATGCATGTCACATTGGGGCAGATGCATGCAAACCTGCATGCTGTGCAACGTTTAGTTTTACTCGATACATAATCTGGCCTATATCAGTGCATTTTGAATTATGGGTATTGAATTGATTTAATTATTAGCGCAGCAGGTAAGCAGCACTGGTTGTTGGGTGGACTTTGCATGTGCCTGCCTCCACAGCTGGCCACAGAGTTCAGAAGCATAGGAGCTCCTCCTCTTCAACTGTTAGAAGCCTGTGAACAGGGGAGGGCTTGTTTGTTCTTCTGAAGGGAAGCTATGTGTGTAGGGTGGGTGTGTTTATGCCTGCCAAGACTCTGTGGCGACTCTGTAACAACAGGATTTTATTACAGTGTGAACAAGGTTATTGGTTGCATAGTTATCACTTGATTTTTCTGCTAATCATAGGCTTGTTTGCCAAACCCTACAAGGGAGTGCCTATCTTTCCAAACCAGCCTTCTGTTGTATTGCATTTCATATTTGCCCTTCACACTCCCTTGGTACTAATCTTCATGCATTGGTTGGACGGCAAATGAAAAATGCATGGGCTGCTTTCAGTTTTAAGTTGGGAGGGACCACAAGGGTCATGTAGTCCAACCCCATGCAATGCAGGAATTGGACTAGATGACCCTTTCGGTCCCTTCCAACTCTACAATTCTGTGAGTCTAAGAAGCATTTTTTTTTTTTACAAAAACAAAAAACTGTTGCTGTTGCATTTCCAGATTAGGCTTTTACTTTATGCACTGATTTTGCATAGCATTCCCCGTATTATCTTCCGATCAGTTGTGATGCATTTGGCATTGCAGGGGGTTGGGCTAGATGACCCACAGGGTCCCTTCAAACTCTACAATTCTATGATTCTACAGTGAAGAAGTTGGTGAGGGGGCTTTAACATATGGTTACCAGATTTTTCTCAATGAATCCGGGGACACTTTTTAATTTATTTATTTATTTATTTATTTATTTATTTATTGATTGATTTATTGATTGATTGATTGAAGCTGCGTAGCAACAGGTAGTCAGTAGTGGGGATGGTGAGGCAAAAGACCCTGGCACACATGTATTTTGTATAAAGGTGCAAAGCCCTTCTTTCGCACCCTGTGAAACATAAATGCGCAGAGTAACAGGCTGGCTCCTGGCTGCTGAGGCTGCAGCTGCCATGTTTCCTGGGGACAGATTTGCAAATCTGGGGACTGTCCCCGGGAACCCTACTTCAACACAGGGTGGCCAAGTAGCCAAGCTGGGTTTGTGCTGGTGTAAATCAGCAGGTGGGAATCCTGCTGTTTGACCTGTTGTCGTGGTCCAACTGCACCACCCAAAAGAAAGGTTCCTATAATGGCATATAATTCCTTAAAAACAGGAACCCCCCCCCCAAGAAGTAGATTGAGAATCGTGAATTGGAGCATGTGGTGCAAGAATTCAATTCTTATTTAGGTCACTGTCAGATGTACAAAAAACTCTGCAGGCTTGAAAATACCCCTACAATGTTCTACTGCTGTTTCAAAGAGCAGCACCACCAACCTGGCTTTACAATGCAGTCTGTTTGCAAACACTAAGGCGAATGCCTCCCTTGAAGGAGAATGGCCTTATCAAAATAAATTGATAATGTAAACAGTTCTAAAACAGTGAAGCAAGATATGCCTCCTGGTTAATATTTAAAAAGCCAACCATTTGGAGTTGTTTATGACATGGGCCTATCTTCGGCTGCTGTGGTTCTGGGGAGGGAGGTGAGTTTATGTGATAATTAAGGTGGAGCTGTGCAGTTCAAGGGAAAGTACATATTGTACACGTCTAAACATTATCCAGTGGGGAAGAAGAGGTGTTGAAGCTGGATAAGTCAAATCGAAGCGCATGTAAATGTCAAGTTCTTGGCTCATTTAAACTGCTGGCATAACAATAGGTTGTTTTGCATTATAGTTATATAATTGCTTTCTTATTTAATAAAATATATCCCACTCTTCTACCAAAAGTTCCCAGTGTGGCATATAGCATAAGTTCTAATTAATAAAAAAGCAGGTACAGCCAGTTCTAAAAGCCGTAACAGAGTACCCAAAGCAAGAAGCACACAGAGTAAAAGATGCTAGATATTGAAATCTGCAACAATAAAAAGGCTGTTGAAATAAACACGTCTTTCAATTGGGAGGGCATGCAACAATCATGGCACTGCCACAGAGATGGCCCCATATCTCATGCTCACTTGCTTAATTTTTTTTGACATGACTCCAAGAACAAAGGCTTCTGACATTGATCTTCATTTCATGATTGACCTGTATGGGAGCAACTCATCCTTAAGCCAGCATTCTTCAGCCTTGGGTCTCTAGATCAGTGGTTTTCACCCAGTGTGCTGTGGCCCCCTGGGGTGCCTTGAATGATGGTCAGGGGTGCCATGGGCAACCCTCTTTCCTTCCCTCCCTCCTCTGATGCCCTCTTGCATCTCTGCATCCAAAAGGCTTGCATGGCTGTTCGTTGCAGCAGCCCTGGCTACAAGCTCCCCAGACAAATGGTGCCTCTGGAACTGGCCAGGGGATGCTGGTTGCCAGAAGCTGGAGCGGCCTTGGAGTAAGCACACAAGCAAGCGGGCCAGGGAGCCCAGCCAGCCCTTGCTGTTGGGAATGGACAGTGTGAGCAGGTACCTGTCTTTGGGGCCAGGGGACCAGGGGCGGCAGCAGTGGCTGCCTGGAGGACTCCCAAGGAGAGGGGAGAGGAAAGGAGGCTGAGGAAACACCCCACAAGGGAGGGTGTTTGCAAAAAGGGTGAGAGGCTGCCAGGCAAGGGGTGACATAAATGGGCTCCTGAGCCCCACAGGGGTGCTGCAGAAAGAACGTAGTTGGTCAAGGGAGCCGTGGACTCAAAAAGGTTGAAAACCTCTGCCCTAGATGATGATGGACTACAGCCGCCATTGTCCTGAGACATCTTAGCCAATGGTCAAGGAAGATGGGACTTGTAGTCCAACAACACCTCAAGCCTGAAGATCACTGCCAGCTAACATGGTCTTAAGCTGTTAGGGCTTTGAAGGAAACTTATGACATGGATGTGAGAGAGCACCACTGAGTAAATGCAACGCAGGTAGAGAAGTAAGATTTATCCCTCTGCATCGCCCTGCAGGCCTAGTAAGGGCTCCAGTCTTTGTTCAGCTAGTCAGATTTGCCTTGAGTCTTCTACCAACTCCTTCATAAAATTCTGGCCTTTTCTTTCCTCCCATGGGGTGTGTGGATATACACATATATGTTAGTGGTAGCTCCTTGCTGATGTACTTGCAGATGAAGAGGTGGTTAGAAGATCTGCCAACCTAGTTATGGAGATATGAATCCTGTAGCTTTGGGTTATTATGTCACTCTGAACTGCTACTCAAGTGAGGATTGCTGAAATATCTCCTAATTTCATTCGACACATCCGCACTCAAGGCAAGAATATAGAGATTCTCTTCAGATTTCACCTCTGCAGATTCCAAAATCTCATTCTCTAAGCAATTACGAGCTAGGTTGGGTATGGAACAAACAGTTGGTATTTCATAGTTGTTGATGCTGAACAGAGCTTAGCTGGGTGTTCCCTGTGTTATTTTGTGCAAATATTGCATGCATGTATGTGCGTGTCTGCATGCGTGGCAGAATGGTACTTATCTTCCACAGCCATCATGCCGAGGTGCTATTGCATTAATTGCACTTGCAAATTGAGGTTTTCCATTCCAGTTCCAGCCTGTGCAACTTTCCTCCCCTGTCCTGCATTTGACTGCTCTAGATTTAATCATCTTGTTATTAAATTATTTTTGGAGAGAACTTATCATGTAAGAACTTGAGTTGCCAGATCCTCCACCTAGATACCATTAAATGCTCCAAGGTATCAACACCAGGGCAAATATGCTGTTGGGGAGGTGGGGAGGTATAAGCTATGTCACTCACTCTCCTCCTCCAGTTGCCCTGGGGTCAAATTTGAGCCCTGCTGGCCACAGTAAGGTAAAGGGTAAAACAGATTGTGGAGGAAGGTCGAAGGGACTGATGAAATGTTGAGGATGCCAGATGAAGTGGGGTATCTTTTATTTCAGTTGTGGAAATAACAGTTGCATTAAACAAGCATGTGGGGATATTTAAAGGTCTAGGCACAGACTCCAGGATAGTTTACTGACCTCCCTAATTTTTGCTGTGTCAGATCAAAGACGCTGTGTGACTAGTACTAAACTTGTCCTCATAGATGGACAACCTGCAGTCTCTACTACTGTCCCTGCTTGCCCCTTTAACTCTTGGTTTCTAAAGCCCTTTTCTCTGAACAGAAGATGTTTCCTTTGGACAGAGGTTTTGCTGCCCTGGGGAAAGTGGGCACAGCATGCCTCTGAAACTGAGCGGAGCGGTGCTGGATTCTTTCCCTTTGTGCTCTGTAGTCAAGTTTAAACCGTATTGAATAAAGAGCTACTTTGCCTCTGCTCATTAAGCCACAAAGATATGTAACCACATACAGATGGCATTTTATCCCACTGCCTTTGACTTTCTCTTGTCTCTCTCCCCCCCTTTCCTTTTTGTCCATTAAAGGCTTAGCTGTTGGTCTTGGCATCGGAGCCTTGGCAGAGGTTGCGAAAAAGAGCCTTAGATCCGAAGAGCAGAATGGTGAGTGTTCCTTTGCTTACTGCTAATACAAGCATCCGGTCGTGTCCTTGTCCCCAAACACAATTTGCTCTACAAGCGCACAGAATCACAACTAAAGGAAGGGCAGCACGACACTATAGTCACTAAGGTAGTTACTAATAAAAGTATTACAGTGTTTCTGCATCCAGATTCCGCTCTCCCCCTGAACCTACGCAGCAACTTTCAATTGTTTTCCTCTTTGAATAAATACTTCAAGGAGTAGTGGTGATTCAGTGCATTTAAGGAAAGCAAATCCCCTTCCTCTTGCCCCTAAAGCAGGACAGGAGAAAGCTAAACGGTGGAGCAGGGTGAGCTTGTCCACCCCTTCAAAGAGTCCTCCTCTCTACTGACCCAGATCAACACAGAAGCTCGCTGTCTATTTGCTCAGGAAAATGAATGACTTCATGGCTGCCTGTCCTGTTTTGCAGCAATCCTTGAACTTGAAGTTTGCCTTTCTGGTTCTATCCTTTCAGATGATTTAATAATAATAATAATAATGGTTCCAGTCCTTGTTTTACCATAAATAGATCTCGTGTTTGTCTTGGCATTGGCTAACGACAAGTCACTGAAGTGAAGGTTATACAGAATATATCTGCGATAAGGGGTGAAGTGTTATTGCACAGCAACAGCAATGAAGTCATTTCTGTACTTGCATCTGATCTTGCCCGATGCAAGTTCTCAAACTCAGGAGGGGTCAGCCAGGGCTTCGGAGAGAGAGCTGGACTTCGTCCTGCCCAAGGTGCTCATACCGCTTAAAAGCAAAATGGATGCACTTGGATTAGTTTGGGAAGAGGAGGACTGTGCCAAATTTACATCTTGCTGTCTGCTGCAATCTGCTCTGATTGTATATTTTATCTTTATGAATGCTGTTTTTATTGTGTTATGCGGGCTGGTCTTTGACCGTAATAAATTATCTATCTATCTACGTCTTGCTGCCAGAAGCCGGACCTTCCACTTTTCCTTTTTGTTGTTGTTGTTAAGTAAAGTGTTTCCCACCTTATTTCCCCACTCTTCAAAATATTATAAGAGAAAGCTGCCCAACACTGGTCAATGGTCAAGGTGTAACTCTGACAAATCTGATTCACGGGATGCCTGGTTATGGCTGGTATTTAATCAGGGATGTGTATATTTGGCTTCTCTTTCTTCCCCACCGGTTTGCTACATGTTAAAAATGTGCATCTGGAAAAGTAACCTGAGAGTAGTGGCCTTTAGTGCCATACCTAACTGTGACTCCACCAAGGGTCCATTTTCCCTCTGTAACAGGGCTATATTACTGAAAGATCAAGATCTCTGGTTGGCAGTGGAATTGGCCATGAAGCCAGCCTCGTGCTCAATAACATTGCAAGGGGCTGGCTTTCCGCTGAGCATCTGACCCATTGACATATGTGAACACCGATCCTTCCTTATGTGTGCCCACCCCCAGCATAGGGAGGGGTGACCCTCAGCCTGATTTTATGCGGCCCTTCACCTAATTGCAAAAGCTCTTGGCAATATGCCCTTCTGCTTGGCAGATGGCAGAGAGAGAGAGAGAGAGAGAGAGAGAGAGGACTGTGGCTGCCCATTGCCAGTTTCAGCCCTGATAACTGAATGTTACGCCTGTAAGAACAGGATGCTGGACTATCTGGGCCATTGACCTGATGTAGCAGGCTATTCTTGTGCTTCTTACATTACCTGACAGCTACACATGACTTGCTGTCTTCTCTGGTAGGCTCTCCAAGGTCTCAAGCAGAGGTTTCTCTGTCTTAGCATTGGAGTCCTTATAACTGGGGTTGAACATGAAAGTTTTAGGAAGGGGCATGGAAGTAGTGGAGCATCTGCTTTGCATGCAATCCCTGGCATCTCCAGGAGAGTCACTCCTGGCCAGCGTAGACAATACAGAACCAGAGAGAGCAATGGTCATGCAGCTTTCCTGTGTTTGGTATGTGAAGTGTGAGTTCTGTCACTAAACCCTCTTAGCTTAGTCTTGCTCAATCTGCGATAACCTGTCCCTGCATAATGTTCCTCCCGTAATTATAGTAGCACTTTCTTAGAGGTGCATATTATATTTGGAGAAACTGTTAGTTCCTTCCTGAGAGTGCAGATGGAATTTATCTGATCTCTCTTGATGCCCTAAACTTTAGCATCTCAGTTACAATCTTTCCAGTATGTTGGCTCCTGTTTCCTGACAGCAAAGCTTTCACTGTTCCCATCAGACAGGTTCACAAATGTGTGTTACCCCATGCTGCTTGGGTAGTATGTGAAAGTGTCTCAGTGCATATATACTCCCTTGAATGGGACTCCCCGCTGTGCACGGAGCAAAACTGGGGCATGTAGAACAAGAGTTTAAAGTCACCTGTGGCCGACCTTAAATCTCCTGCAGAAACGTCAGAATTTCTTGCAGAAATATCAAGCTGTACAATCACAGAATCTGTGCACAGGTTCAAAATATATATTCGAAAAAGCATGGTGGCAGATCACCCTGAATGGCTCTGAAGGCATTCCCTTGCAACTCTCGTTCCTCTTATTGGAGAGAGCTTGTTCTTAAAGAAAGATTGTGTAACAGTTCTGTTTACATTTTTCTGTTTGCCAGAGGTACCTTGTATAATCGGGCACTCCCCGACCTGCATGCAAGATCAGCCATACTATGAAAGGGTGTAGAACTTGCTGTTGCTGGCAAAAACAGCAAGGTGAGGTGGGAGCAGCTATTTTTATGGAATTTGGTTTAAGGAGACATTGACCTATCAAGGGCTTTTTCTGTTAATTTGCTAGTGTGTTTAAGGAAGAAAAGTAGAAATGTGTGTGTAGTGGTCAAGCTCATGAGACTTTTTTCCTGACCACCTGTAGATTAGCAGTGGAGGAACCTGTAGTCCTCTCAGTTCTGTTGGACTCTGACTCCCATCATCCTCACCCAGCATGGCCTAGTGGTCATAGAAACTGGGAGTCCTACATGGAAGGCCACTGCTTCCCCACATCTCTTGTTATAACTAAAAAGATGATTCTACATTCTACAGAGGGCAGGATTAGTATGGAAAGGATAGATCGCTGGTTTTAAAAGTGAGGTCTGGGTTCTTTCGTCGATTCTGCAGCTCTTCCCTCTTTCCAGGGAGAAGCTAGGAGGAAAGGGGTAAAAAAAGGGTGAGGCAGAGACGTGAAGGATACTGCCTGTTTGGCTGCCTGGAGTAGAAGACCAGAATGGGTGAATTTTAAATCGTGCTGCCTCTCATTCAGAGGATTACAGGGAAATCAGCCTTTAGAATCATTCTGGAAAGAAGATAAACATCAGTTGTTCACAGCTGGTGTGGAAAACAGGGGCAGTAAAGCGGGACAGGAGATTTAGGCTCAACACTCAGAAGACAACCTTTGTAATCCTATAACACGGTTTAGGCTGATACAAGGTAGGCTTTGCAAATGCTGTCCCATGGACCTCTTCCAGTAAAGGTTGGAGAAGCATCAGGGAACGTTTTAGATATCTTAGACTGCAATGCTTAACACACCTAGTAGGTGTGGGATTTACACATTTTGGGTAACATTGCATGGAACAACTGTTAAGAATAGGGAGTGGGCACGAAAGGGATGGCTCATTTGGTAGCAGGTGTTCTCCAGCTAGTGAGTGCAAGTTTTGATCTGGCATTTGCTGTGTTCCTGAAGATGTCCTTCCACTTAATAGTAAAATCAATACGGAACTTCAGGAAATGGCAATACCAATCAAAAATAATAGCAGTAAGTTCTGTAGGTTTCCTCTTTGAGTTTACCTCTGCGATTCCAGGCCAAGTTTGTTTTTCTGATGAAGTCAAAAGATGCATCCTGTGGCTGCCTCTTGTCTCCACCTGCCCATCTTGTCATTCATTCCAAAAAGACTTTTCAAATGAAGCATCACGGCTCACTTTTTTGCTGCTGTTCTCTTCCGAAGAGGAGCAACAGTATGATTTTGTCGGTAGAATTTGGCTGTTAAGAACTGCTGCTAAAATTATGGGGTAAAGGCCCCCACCTCACAATACCCAAATAACCCCTTTCAGAGAAGAGTTAAAGTGCCGTGAGCTTATTTTCCAAGGCAGGAGAGACCTTGGACCCACCAGCCAACTTGTCTTTGGCAGTTCCCATTCAAGCTATCCTGGAAAGAAAAAAAAAAAAGGTGTGCAAAAGTTCATGTCCATCGTGCATTCTGGATGAGATTCACTGTGTCTGTCAAGCAAGCCAAGTAAAAATAGCTCTGTTGGTCACTGCTAACCTTCAAAGCTGTACTTACGGCAGCAGAGGAAAAATTAGAGGTGATCCCAGATGGCTGTTGGGAAGGACAGTCCTTCCAGGGACGTGAAATGAAATCCAGTCTCTACATGCCCTCTTCTGTCAGGAGAGGAGAGTTGTGCTTCAAGGTCAGTAAACAGATTTGTTGCAGCAGTACCTGCTCAGAGCCTCCAGTGAGTTTCAGTATTTCAGGAACAAATAAGTTAGGAGTCCGTGGCCCAGCAAATACAATGCCCTGCCCTGTGAAGCCTTCATGTTTTTGCTTCAGACTTCATTAAAAGGGTGGGGTTTCTTGGGATTATACTGTCTCAGGGAGATACTGTTCATGTATGCCACCACAGCAGCAAGAATTCTTGTGGCGAGGAAGTGGAAAAACGAAACAATACCGACAATCACAGATTGGCAGATACTCACGTTAGAGTATTTACAACTAGCAAAACTGACAGGAAGCGTTAAAGGAGTATTGAACCAGAAAATATTTGGAGAATGAAGAATATTTAAGGATTATATAAGATGATATTGTACCAACCACACCATATTAGCAGAACTTGAGTGATACTTGTAAACACAACAAATACCGTTTGTGGAGTAGACGGGAACAATATTAAAGAATATAAAACTGTGCGAAAAAAACGACAGTATAAACCGTACAATGAGAATGATTGGAAGACTTGTTTTGTCAGAAGTCTTTTTTATTTACGTGTTTATTTAAGTATTAATTAGGAAGATTAAGTTTTTTTATGCACGTAAATCTGCTTCTTCTTCTTTTTTTTCTGTATTTTCTTTTCTTCTTAATTGTTTTTTCTTTAGTTTTGTTTTTGTAGTATGAGATTGTAAATTCTTTGTATATGTGTGTAATTTAAATTAATAAAGATTATTTAATTATTAACAAAAAAAGATGCAGAAGGAGAATTGTTATTGTTGTTACTTATTAAATTTATCTGCCACCCTTCATCCTAGATCTCAGGGTGGTTCACAATATAAAAATACAATATGAATACATAATAAAAATAAAGAAGAAAAACAACCCAATCTCCCCCCCTCCACGCACATTTTTAAAAGAGTGTTGGATGTTAATCAGCTAAAGGCCTGGTTGAAGAGGCCTGGCGCCTAAAGGTGTATAATGAAGGCACCAAGCGAACCTTCCTGGGGAGAGTGTTCCACAAATGGGGAGCCCTGTTCCCGTGTTGTCACCCTCTGGTCCTCTCGTGGAGGAGAGGCACATGAAGAAGGGCCTCAGATAATGATCGCAGGGACCTGATCGGTTTGTATGAGGAGAGGCGGTCCTTCAGGTATTGCAGTCCTGAGCCATTTAAGGCTTTATAGGTCAAAAACAGCACTTTGATTTGGGCCCAAAAACTAATTGGTAGCCTGTGCAATCAGACCAGAATTGGTGTAATATGCTCAAACTGTCTTGCCCTGGCCACCAAATTTTGTACTAGTTTCAAGTTTCCTAACTGTCTTCAGGGGCAGCCCTATGCACAAAGTGTGTGCGAATGTGTTCACTCATTAAGATTTCTTAGTGTCTGTGGCAAGTAGCACCTCCCAGACAAAGGCTTCTCAGCTCGTCTTCTTGGCACCCTAGCTTTGCAGAGGCAGGGAGGTAAAAAGCATGAGAGAACATTTGAACAAAGCGTTTTGAGATGAATTGTAGTCCAAAACCTCTGGATGGCACCAGGTTGTCTGCTTTTACCTCCCTTATATTGAGGAACGCTGCACAGTGATTGATACTTCTCTACCACCTGAAAGGCGAAGAAAGCAAGGTCCTTTGGACCAAGTGGGTACAGTGCCAATAGTAGCAGCCTTACAGCATTTTCCTTTATTTTTTTACCCTGTCCTCAGGCAAAAAGGCTGTTATGGATACCAGTCCATTTATGTCGGAGGCCAATGCAGAGAGAATCGTGAGGACCCTCTGCAAGGTTCGAGGAGCAGCGCTGAAGCTGGGGCAGATGCTGAGCATCCAAGGTAAGAATGAACAGCATGTTGGTGCTCCTTGAATCCTCTCCCTTTGATCTCTCATCTCTTGGGTGAATTTTTGACTCTCCCAACCATTTTTCCCTTTTGGAAGTTTCCTGACTCTTTTATAGATTTTGTTCAGTTTTGTAGGTATTTCAGAGCAGGAATCAGAAGAGGCAGTAACACAGTTTCTGTTTATTAAGCCAGCACAACAGTACCTTTTTTGGATTTTTGTACAGAGGGAAAGTGCCTTTTGAAGTAACTGCTCAAGTTTATATTTTGTAAAATAATCATAGGAGATATTTGCCATAATGTCCTCAGCAGCCTTGGTGCAATATGAAACCAGTTAGTACCCAACAGAGTACCCATGAAAGCTGCAAATGCCCCCCAGCATTCCATGCTAAAATATTGCAAATGCAGACATTGTGGCTTTAAAAACTTGCTAGCTTTCTCCCCCTTGCCTGTTTTGTTTAACACCTGCCATGTGAAGGATTCTGAAGGGCATGAAAGCTTGCTCACTATTTTGTGACATGTTGCTTGCTCCCCTAAAAGGTATTGCTGTATTGTCAATATTTTAATTCCCCTCTCCCAGGGAAAGGTACAGTCCATCTTAAGTGTTAACAACCACCAACACTGTTGCTAGAAAAAACTGCCACCTTTCTAATTTGTTAACATACCTTTTGCAATTGTAGCATTTCTTTACCTCCAAGGTTTTTGAGTTGTGTTTTTAAGAACATCTTATTCTCTGCCCTTTATCCCTTTCACCTTCCACCAGGTGAGAACCATCAGTACACATATAAATGCTGTTGCATCAAAAAGCCCGAATCTCACATACTGTTCTTCTTTCTATCTTCCCTGTAATCTTTATTTGTAGTTGCATATTATGAAGTGTATATTGTGTTAAAGCTGCTAATAAATCAATGGTATTCATTTTGGGCAAAAGTGATAAAGACCAGTACCCTTTAAAGTAAACTCTTCATCAGATGTATGAAGTGTTAGCCACAAAAGCTTCTACAGTCAAACTTTGGTTCTCAAATGGCTCCATTTTCGAACGTTTCAGCTCCTGAACGCCAAAAACCTGGAAGTAAATGCTCCAGTTTTTTAAACATTTTTTGGAACTCAAATGTCCAACGTGACTTCTGCTTGAGTGCAAGAAGCTCTTGCAACCAATTGGAAGATGCGCCTCAGTTGTTGAACGTTTTGGAAGTCAAACGGTACGGATTATGTTGAACCACCGAGGTTTGACTGTACTTTAAAGTGACACAAGGCTCTAAGTCTGTTGCAGCAAACAACCACCACAAACATGGCTCCCTTCTGGAAACTATTTGGACTCGAAGACTTCTCAAGCATGTGCTCATTATTTTTGGCTGATGTTTAGAATTCTCCCAATTCAGGCCAGCAGCCTGACAAATCCAGATGACAGAAGTGTGTAGCTGAACATTGTGTTGTGACCAAGAGAAAATGGAATAGTGGTATTAGCAGAAGAGAGTGTTTGTGTGTGTGTAGATGATCCAGATGTGATGTGGCTATCACCAAAGTTACTACAATGGTGGGATCTGAAGTAACTACTAGAGCAGGCTGCCAATGTGGCTTCTCTCTCTCTCTCTCTCTCTCTCTCTCTCTCTGTGTGTGTGTGTGTGTGTGTGTGTGTGTTTCATCCCACTAATAGCATAGCATTGCCAAACCCACTGGAGGCTTTTAAAGAAAGAAATACAACTGAAGGCCAAGGCAATGCTCACAAACCTGGTAGACATTCTGCCCCTCCTTTAAACTTCTCCAACCTTCTCAGAAAGATGCAGTTCTGTATTTCTGAAAAGGACCAGGAAAATGAGCTTTCCCCAACAAGAACCCTTTGCTTCCGTTAAAAACAATAGGTTGATGCAACTTGCAGGCTGCCCTCTGCTTGCAGTTGCTTCACACCGTAAAACTTTACCATGAACCCTTTCTGTGGCCAGTGTCTTGCCCAACCTTAACTGCAAGGGAGGAACGGACTGTCACTGCTTAATTGCAGGGGTGTCTTTTAATGTCTAGTCTAAACCATAAGCCACAAAGAGGAAAATCTGTAGCTCAGCAGCAGAGGACATGCTTTGACTGTGGAGGGTCCCAGGTTCAGTCCCTGGGTTGCATCTGGGAATGTCAGCTTTCAGACAAGTGTTGACAGCATTCATCTAGATGGGCCTAATGGTCTGACTCTGCATATACTTTGCTTCCTGTGTTTTTGACCATGAGCATGCTTTGTTAAAAAATAATCTGGTTGGTTACTTCAGCACCAGTTGGCAAATTGTTCTTTGAAGGCCTAATAAACTTGCCGCATAAATAGCAAGTGAAGGCGGTTCATTGGCATGTTAGCGAGCAAAGCAGATAAGTGTTGGAATAGACATGCAAGTCACAGCTGATGCAAGTGTTTATTCTCTGTTTTTCTGAGGTGGTGAAAGTAGAGCAGCCTGTTGAGAATTGAAATGTTCTCCTGCCAGCTCCAGCCCTTCCTGCTATGTCTCGGAAGGGACGGGGGTAGAATAGATGAGGTTTCAGCACACAACAACCCCATGGAGGATGCCACACTTGTTTTCTTCGCTTGTGGAAGCCTTAGGATGAGGAATATCGCCAGGATCTCATGGGCATTCTTCCATCATGCTCAAATTCAGTACCCCTTCTTGAGCATAGCTCTTTTGAACCTTCTAAGCTGCAAAAATGAGCTTGAAGGTTTGTGGGCAATGCCTGTACGTAGGTCAGGGGATCTGACCCTTTGCCATGTGTGAAGGAATTGAGTGGGTGGGAATGGATCCCTCCTTACTGGCAGGTCCCTGTTTTGTATAAGAGCTCCCTTCAAAAGTAAATAGTGATACGCTGCCACCAAAATGCTGGGGCTGCACTGTAGTATGTCCAGCTGCTTTGAGGGTTTCTTGGTCCTGCTGGCAAGGACCCATTTACTTTCCCAAAGCTTTAGAGGCACACAATTTTGTTTGTGTGTGAGGGGAAAATTTGGAACACAACAGGTCACTTAGCATCCCTGCAGTGTCATACAGGGAGATTCTAATGAGAAAATTTAGAGGTTTGCTTTAAAAACAACAACTAATGAAACAAAATAAAAAATATATAAATAAGTTTATTTGGGGAAGAGTGAAGGCAATGATTTCTCTCTTGCACACACTCACAAAGAAATTCCCTAAAGATAATTGCCTTTTTGTATATGATGTTCTTTTTGTTTATTTGTTCTTTAAGTATTTTAAACCCAAATTACTAAATAAATTAATTCCCTGAAGTCAATTTAACTTAGCTAGCTGCATGTTGCTTGCTTGAGCAGAACACTGGGTTTCAGAGCATATGCAGAGTTCCTTGCAGCGGGGGGGGGAAGTCTTCAGGTTTCTCATTGGATATTTCAAGGATGACAAAAGACTGAGGGTAAAGCATCACATGTTTATAGGAATTTATGAACAATAAAGCTGGCTCCTTTGTGCAAGATAGAATGTTGTCTGACCCTAGCACAAAATCCACTCACATCTATATATATGTCAATGCTCAATCCGAAATGTACTTAAGGCTACTTCTACCTTTTTAATGAGACTGTACTTTCATATCAAAGGAACTAGCTATCATGTTTAACTATGGCTCTGACTGGGCTTGTGTTTTCCTCTTGTCAGATGATGCCTTCATCAACCCTCATCTGCAGAAGATTTTTGAACGTGTCCGTCAGAGTGCAGACTTCATGCCACTGAAGCAAATGATGGTGAGGATTTGGCTGGGCTGTATGACAGGAGGGAGCCTTGGGGATCAAAGTGGATGAACAGAAGTAGACCTGTGTTGAAAGAGAAAGCAGGCACCTTCCTCTATTTACAGGTTCTGGGCCATTGCTGAGCAGGCTGCAAGAACAAAGCGTTAAATAACCTTACTGCATCTTCTTTCCTTGCTTCCACCATTTTTTTAAAAAATCATGGTGGAATTCATTGTTTAGCTCTCTAATTTGTATACACTAGTGGCTGCTTGGATTTTTAATCCTGGCCATTTATATGCACTTGGTGCTTGTTTGCAGTTGTCCGTATGTCATAGCTGGATTTCAAAGTCCCTAGTCTAAGCAACAAGTGGTAGTGTCTACCTGGGAAGGGAAAACTCCAATTTGTGTTTTTTATTCACCGCTAGAAAACTTTGAACAATGACCTTGGTCCCAACTGGCGTGATAAGTTGGAGTTCTTTGAAGAGCGACCTTTCGCTGCAGCTTCGATTGGACAGGTTCACCTGGGGCGCTTGAAGAACGGGAAAGAAGTTGCCATGAAAATCCAGGTGGGCCTATGGTCTTCAGTGTTTTCAGAGTTGGCACCCACCAGTAGCTCTGAATATGCACTTTGAGACCCACTCCTTTGATGTTTTACAATATATTAGTTTCATAGAAGTGTAGAATTGCAGAGTTGAAGGGATCCCGAGGTTCATCTCATCACCTTTGGCCCCTGTGTGAAGCCTATGCGGCTTTAGGGTAGTTCTGTCACTGTGCCCCTAACACTTCTGTCTGAGATCAACAGACATTCTCAGATGGAGGACAGGCTCCTTCAAATCCTGAACCTGATTCTTGGGTTGTGACAAAGTATATGGTATGAATAGTTCACACGTTATCGTTCCCTTTTTTGCTGACCAAACTGTGTTTCTGAACCATTTGTACTATAGACTTGCGGAATTTGGGGGATGATGTGCCAGAAGCATTTCCCTTTTCTGGAAATCCTGGTTTTGGCAATTGTTATAATTCTCTCCACTGGGAGTTTTCATGATCCCCATGACAGTAGAAAAGTCCTGTAGATGGGGAGCCTCTGGCTCTTCAGATGTTGGGCTCCAACTCCCATCATGGTCAAGGATGATGGCATTGTAGTCTAACAACACCTGGAGGGACCACCTGCTCTAGATAGTTCTAAGGTTTTGCTAGGTGGCATTTCTTGGTCTGTTGTCTCTCACCCTAGCCCCCATTTTTAAGCCCAGTGTAGGTTAAAAGTGACGGAAAGTTCCTGTTCTTGCAGCTGTTCATGTCAGTCTGCTACCCAGAGCACAGGTGCTAAGCTGTGAAAATTGGCTCCCTTGGCTCTTTTTTTAGAAAGGAGGTGGGGAGGATGGAATTTTAGACTCCACAGGCTATGCTTCGCAGGAGCGTTTGAGAAGTGTGTTGTCAGGTTTGGACAGTCTAAATTACCTTGGAGAGAGGGAACTGTAGCTCATTATGCCTTCCCTTAATTATTTCCCAAACCAGCATGTGTTTCTTATGCAAAGTAAACTGCATTACCATAGAACTCTCTTGATTGCAATAGGACTGTATCTTTTCTGAAGGATTTTTGCAAATGATGGGGAAACAAACCGTCCTAAGTTCAATCCTGGGAAATTTCCCTGTTTGGCAGGCAACTCTGCAGGTTCTCAAGACAGTAAAAAAACCAGGGGGCAGAGCTGCCAGCCTCTAGGCTGGATCAGGATTGTAGAACCTTCTAGGATCATAGAATTGTGGAGTTGGAAAGCATCCTGTGGGTCATCTTGTCCCACCTTGTCTACTCTGCCCCACTCTTGCCCCCTCCTCCCCATCTCAGCTGGCCCTCCTTTCTCCTCAGCAAAAGAGGCCTGCAGAGTAGCAGCAACTAGAGTGGTGTAGCATCCGTCAGAAAGATGCTCTGGCTGCCAGTACATAGCTGGACCTCCAGGCTTGTCCATGAACCTACCTGCCTGTGACTGTTGTGGCCGGGAGTGGTTTCTGCTTTCCCAGAACACAAAGCAAGAGAACGTCAGTGTGGCTGGGGAACAGGAGTGGGGGGAGGAGGCATGAGAGTGCGTGAGAGTTGCTCCTGATGGAAAGCATGTGTGCCGTTGTGGGTGGGTGGGGAAGAGAATGGAGGAATGGGGTGTCTACCTGTGGGTGGATGGGAGGAACGAGGGATGTGGGGCTTGTGCATGAGAAAGTGGCAAGCAGAGAGAAAAGGGGTGGCCCTACTTACTCTTAGTTAAGCAATACTGCGCTAGCTGGATCAGACACAGGATTAGCCAGGTTCCCGTGACCTCTTTTCATCCTTGCATTTCAGCACTTTTATTTAGGGATTTTGTTTTTGCCATGACTGAAGCCTTGACCCTCTGTTTTAGTTCAGGAAAGTGTAGCAGGTGTTTGAACTGGAGGAGGTGCTTAGCATTTCTCTTTCTCTCTCTCTCTCTCTCTCTCTCTCTCTCTCTCTCTCTCTCTCGTGCAGTATCCTGGAATAGCCCAGAGCATCAATAGTGATGTCAGCAACCTGATGACTGTCCTGAGCATGAGCAATGTTCTCCCAGAAGGTAACTTTGGGAAGGGGGCTGTTGTGCAATTCTTCTGTGTGCGTCTGCTGAACACTACTCTGTTGTCTGCTGTCAGCGTTAAAACAGTTGGTTGGAAGCTTCACCTGCCGCCTCTTACAAGCAGCATAGTTGCTGAGACATGGAATGACGCTGGGGTATTGCCAGGTGCTTAAAAGACCGGGAGCCACAGGCCCATGTCTTGCCTCTGGGCATATGAAGATGGGTTGTGCCCTGGGTTTCACTTTGTAGAGGGCCCAGCTGAGCAAAGTGTAAAAGAAAAAGAGGGTTTTTTTGGGGGGATGGAGGGAAGGGCAGGATATCCAGGGCTTGGGCTCCCTGGGCTACCACCTCTGCCCCACATATTCTGGGGGACAACCTCTCACTATTGTGCAACAGGTTATTAGCATGAAATGTGGGGTGAGTTTTTAGCCTATGTTTACCGGATAGAAATCCATTCTGCTTTGCTCATCTGGAAGAAAAGTCCAATCATGTCCAAACCCACAGGAGAGCCCAGCATTCTGAACCTGATATGTGGCAATGAAGAGAGACTAGCAAGATTGCTGTGTAACGTAACTCATCCCTCCCTCCCTCCCTCGTTGGCAGTCTGTGGACTGGCTGCCAGATGGGAGCAGAGCTCAGGCAGACAGAACCACTTTGTCCTTTGAACTTCTTTTGCCTGGCTGTGGGAATGCTGGGCAGAGATCCACAACCTTGATTGTAATCCCCCCTTGATAACTCTCATTAATCTTGGCATCAAAGAAGCCGTGGGAGGCTATAAGTCCGCAAATGCTTTGTATCTCCACCTTTTCCATTTATGGAGCATGGGTGGCTGCAGTAGTTGCCAATACATGCCTAAATTGATTTCGTATGTGCGGGGGGATGCTATTCCTGAAGTCCAGGATGCGTTAATTTTAGGAGAACCATTCATGCTTTGCAGAGAGGTGCAGTTGCTACAGTTAACTAAGGACAATTGTATATGGCTGAAAGTAACCAGCGAAGCGCTATCTTCCAGGCTGAGCTCTTTTCTCTGTTGAGGAACCTTTTTCAGTCCAGGGGCCACATTCCTTTCTGGGCAGCCTCCCGAGGGCCATATGCCCATGGTGGGTGGGGCAAAGAAGAAATGGCAGGTTTTACTTTATGTACACTAGGCTAGTTTCTACATACCCTTGTGTGCCCTCTCTGTTCACCATCCAGATAAGCAAGAGGCATTATCAGCGTTCATGGACACGTGCCAGCCAGGGCAAAATATCTGAGGTGCAAATAGGGCCAGTGAGGGGCTTGGTCTGGGAGTGTTCCAAGGGCCATGCAGAGAGAAGTGGAGGGCCGCATTTGGCTCTAAGGTCTGAAGTCCCCCACCCCTGATTCTGTCATTGTTTCTATTTCAAGCCTAACCTGCTTCCTTCTCCTGCCGTTTTGCCTCCAGGTCTCTTCCCTGAGCATCTGGTTGAAGTGCTGAGCAGAGAGCTGGCCCTGGAATGCGATTACAAGAGAGAAGCTGCCTGCGCTAAGAAATTCAGGTGTGTTTTATGGGCTTGTGCATGCTGTTGGACCAGGGGGAAAGAGGCTCAGAGAAGAATCTAGAGTAGCAAGTGGCTGCTTTTGGGCAAAATGGCATCACCTCTGCTGAGCCCAGATATTGCAGAAACCCCAGGCCCCTGCAGGGGTTGGGCAGCTCTTAGCGTTTTGTCTGTTGCCCCTCAGGGAGCTGCTCAAGGACCACCCCTTTTTCTATGTTCCTGCTGTGGTGGAGGAGCTGTGCAGCCCACATGTCCTGACGACGGAGCTGGTGACTGGGTTCCCGCTGGATCAAGCCCAAGAACTCAGCCAGGAGATAAGGAACGAGGTATGGTCGCCTGGCCCCTTTTCAGCTTGGAGGTGGAGGAAGGAGATCGGTAGAGCCAGAGGACACGAGCCTCTTCCTCAGGCCATTTTGCGAGAGAGGTCCTTTGAATGGACAGGTTGGGGCCATGCTAAGTATTGTGTGCAGAAATCGATCGCTTGGGAATGGTGGGCACCCTAGAAAATGTTTTGCTACTGATTGTGTCCTGCATACCTCAGTATTGGGGCAACCTGCACTGGGGACCCCAAAGCCCACCGGCTTTGCTAACCTGCAAACCATCTTTCAGACAGACAGTGTGACCTTGTGTGTAGGATGACCAGCTTGGAAAAGAGATCATCTCACCCTGGAACGACGCGATCAGAAACGCGCCCCCCTCTTGTTGCATAAGCACCCAAATATAGGTTTCTCAGTTGGCCCAATCCTAGCAGCTGAAGCCTGGTAGAAAAGTACTGGTAAACAAGAGGTCAGACGAGAGGTGAAGCATGGACAAAAGAGCATCTGAGCCAAATTATAGTAAGGGGCTAGAAAGTTAACGGGAGGACAAGCAAGTCTGACTACAGCCAGATTGGCAGATGGACTTGGTCTGGTATTCCGACGTGCCCCATAGGAGGCCATTAAACACCCTTAACAGCTGTCAGCAAGTCACTGAGCAGGAGTATAAAAGTTTGGTCTCTAGACAACAAAACTCCTGGGTACATGGCTTTGCCACTCTGACGTGTTTGCTGCTCTGTCCTTTCTCCTCTCCTGCATTTTTCTGGGCACTGCAAGGTTTCTCATGCTGGACTTTTGGTCTGATCCAGCAGTTCTCTTTCTGTGTCAGCAGAAGCTGGTCTTGGCTGCTGACAAGTGTGCCTGTATTGGTGTCCGTGTTTTCAAGCACATGTTGCCACCATTTGCACTTTGCCTTCCCATCTGAGGTGCACACTTAAATCCTGACCCTTTGGTTGCTAAACTAAATTTTCACCAAAACAATGGTGCAATTGGTGCTCTCTTCTTCCTCAGCCCTTCTCTCCTGTAAATGGCATTCCTACTCTGGGCCACTAACTTGGCCACAATGGCTGGCTCAATAACTCCAGCCTTTCTGGAAGCTAGGAGCAGATAAGTGACCTGTTCCTGGTCCTTGTAGTTGGGCGAGCAACATAATTTCATCCCCTGACTATATCACATGTTACACAAAAGGGACCACACTTCTTCTTGAGCTTTGTAGTTGTGCATTGTCCAAAGCAGTGACTCTTTGGCATCGCTCTCTCTTTCCTCCTGCCTCCCTCCCCAAGGAGATGTGTAATCCACCTAATCCCAGGAGTCTTTGTAGCATCCTCTGCCTTGCCAGGACAGACATTCATGATAGCTGTGACTTACAGTTTCAGTATATTCTGCATATCTACCTAATCTGATGCAAGTGGGAGCTTTTCTAATTCATTTTCGTCCCTTTGTTGCAATTTTTGCAGATCTGCCACAAACATACTCGTTTTGTGCCTGCGAGAGTTGTTTGAGTTCAGATACATGCAGACGGATCCAAACTGGTCCAACTTCTTCTATGACCCAGAATTGCAGAAGGTAAATGGCTCTAGCTGGACTTGGCACTAGCTGCTTATACAGCACTCGCTTCCTTTTTTTGCAATGGCTTCTTGGCTAATGTGCTCCTTTAGGTGGAGGTGGTTCGATTAGTTGGGCAAGTGGGTTTGAGGGTAGTGCCTGGAATCTAGAGTTGTGGGTTTTAGGTGGAAAAGGGATCATATTTCATGGAAACGATACAGCAATGGGAGGGATAGTAAGACTCTGCTGACAATCAAATAGAATTCCACTGATGATGTCTTTGAAGGAAAAGGTAAGAAATTCTCACCTGCCCGATGCCTAGAGCAGGAATGGGGGAAGCTGTTTTCCTATTGAAGGGCCGTTGACCCACTGGAAAAACCAGCATTGCAGGACTGTATAGCTCAGGCATAGGCAAACTCGGCCCTCCAGATGTTTTGGGACTACAACTCCCATCATCCCTAGCTAACAGGACCAGTGGTCTGGGGTGATGGGAATTGTAGTCTCGAAACATCTGGAGGGCTGAGTTTGCCTATGCCTGGTATAGCTCTTCCTCTGTGCCACCCCACCTACCTCTCTCACATATCAGAGAGCAGGACTTGGGCTCCCAGGGTCTAGAGGGCCAGAAATTAAGCAGAGCACCGCAGGTCCCCCACTCCCCAAGCGCTAGAGAGATTTACCTTCTTTAAGAGCACTGGAGCAATGGCTATTAAACTTTCAACATCCAGAAGACCCTTTCCATACCAACTTGTTCTGCTAAGGAAATGTGGTGTGTGCATTGCAGGGGATTCTGCATCTTAATCTAGGCCCCGTCCATGTGTGCTTGAGCATAAACCCTGTGCCTTCCTATAGCTGCGCATTGCAGCCACTTTCCATGGTGGCTACTTGGTCCATCCTCATGTTTGTGCTATGTGACCCTTCCAACCAGGTGGGCCTGTCCGATTGTCCTTGTTTCCTTAGCTTTGTTAGAACTAGGGACAAAGTGCTGAAATTCTCCCAATGAAAGGAGGGTTCTTGCCAGCCATGCAGTTTTTGTATATAAAAGCGCATGTACTAAAGCAACCTGTGAAGTGTTGCTGTTTTAGGTTTTTGCCCTATTCCAATAAGAAGTGGGAAAAGAAAGTGGCTTTATGAAGAACTCCAGCTCCTTGTAGCACTTAAAAATTGTTCTGACAAACATCCGGATGCTCTCGGTGTAATAGTTTCTGTTCTAGTGTAAAAAAACCACATTTGTACATCTCATCCAGGTGGCGCTTCTGGATTTTGGAGCAACCCGGGGTTTTGATGAGGAATTCACAGACCTCTACATAGAGGTGAGGACTCCTAAAACCTTTTTTGATGGGGTCTTTGTTGTTTGTGGGCTTGAGAAGCATGTTTGACTTGTAAGTCGCTGGATTGAAAGAAAGCTAGAGGTTTAACTAGCTTTTTAGTTCTCCTTATCTCAGGCAGCCCAACTTTATTTGTTGCGTTCTAAAATTGGAGAACTTGGACTGCTGTCATAATTCACTTTTTCCTAATGTGGATTTTTTTAAAATGTGCAAAGGGAGTTGATGGTGTGAGGGAAAGTGCTTGTAAAGCCTTAGTAATGCTTAAGACATGTTGCTGTTTGTTTTTATTTAAATGACCCGAGTACATATTTTATTGTTGTTGTGGACAGACTCAAAATTGCTTTTTAGCAAACTGCCATAGGGAAATATTGGTCCTTTCCCAGTGAAATAGGTATTGTTGCTCAGGACCCAGAGATTTTTTCTTAAGTGGGACTTGTGCAGTGAAAACTGCAATATTTTCCTAGTAGTACAAAAACAAAAGAAAAGTATTCTCCCCCTCTCTGGCAGTATCTGCTCAAGGCAAACATCTGGACTCTTGAAAAGGGTTCCATGCTGCCAGCAAAGAGTAGAGCCCCCTTTTGCCTGCTGATTTTTCATGGGTTGGATTGTGTCCTGTGTTTCAATTGTAGCTAGCCATGTTAAATTAGGGCATCCATTCTCAGTATACCAACACTTCTTATTGTTTCACTGGTAACACAGGAGGGAAAATGACCATTACTAACTCTTAATTTAAGCACAACCACAAGGACTCCCAATTGGGCATTTAGCTTTGCAATGTGGAATGTTTTCCATTAACTCTGTTCTGTCTGGTTTTCCCTTCGCTTAAAGCAGTTCACAAACCAGTAACTTCTTCATTGACCACTAATAATGAACTGTATGTCACAGACATTATTTCTGCAAATTCATTATCCTATTTTATACAAATAACATGTGAAGACTTGGTCTATTCATTTGTATCATTTATTATTCCTATGATCCTTGTTTATAAAACACAATAAAAAGTTACATTAAAAAAGGGCGTGCATTCCTTTCATCCTAGTATCACATTTCTGGTCTCAAGTGAAGACAGCTGAAGTTTGTGATCTTTCAAAACTGCTCATGCTTCTTAAAGGCTTGGCCGAATTCTTTTTTGTGGGATAAAAACATGTAGCCTTCCTAGTATTGACCTTGTTTCTGAGTAAAGGATTTTCCTTGCTATTGAAGTGCTTAATAGGATTGGCTCCCACCTACACCTGGCTTTTGAATTTTTCTTCTTCTTCCAATACAGTTAATCAAAGCAGCTGCTGACATGGACAGAGAGAAGGTGCTGAAGAAATCAATAGAAATGAAATTCCTAACTGGCTATGAAAACAAGGTACATAGTAGCACCAAACAATCAATGCTTTGTTTAGCTACCGGTGCGACGTCAGTCTCCTTTAGAAACTTCAGCTAAATAATTACTCCCCTTTTGAAGCTACATATTTATTGTATCTATAGAACTTAAGTGTCTCTTGCCAATGCCACCATGGGGGTCAACATTAGCTGCAGCTCTTAAGTGGCATATCTCACCACTCCTTTCAAATCCAGCTTAATTTGTCATGCAGGATACTCACTCATTCTTCTAATATCTGGGTGTGTGATCAGGGCAGCTGGCTTGAGCCTGTAATGGTGAATGTCTTAAGTTCCCCGCCATGTCTCTGTGAGTGTTTAGCTTGAGATACTGGAGGTTTGGAAGCTTGTTTCCAGCAAAGTGTGGGTAGTTGGCAAGGATGCTATAAAACACACTGCTCGGGTGTCTCGTGTCCCAGGTTCAATCCCTAGCATCTCTCAGTAGGGCTGGGAATGGCCCCTATCCGAAATGTCAGAGAGCCACTGCCAGTCATTGTAGACCATACTGAGATAGATGGACCAGAGTTCTGATTCAGGGTGAGGCAGTTTCCTATTATTTCTAAGTAGGCTTCAAAGCGTTGCCATTCAAGTTTTATTCTGGTGGATTGCAGAGTTATGGGACTGGGGAGTTTGTGGGGTGTTGGAGCTGTCATGGTTGCATAGAAGGAGCTGGAAATATTCTAATTTGGGTGTCCATGGTTGGAGCAGTGGAGAAGTTCCTTTGGTTTTTGAGTAGGATTATCCTAAGATTTTTAGCATTTTAAAATATGCTGGTAGGAAGTACAGAATATCCACTTTGCTGGCCTCGCAATACTCTTTGTTGCCAGCAATAATTTATTTGAATTTAGCTTGACTTTTTTTTATGTATGATGCACCTGTAATATTGTAGAATTGTGGCCTGGTGAAAACCTGAGATGGGTGCAGTCCTTCATTTTTCTCCCTGTGGAGAAATACTCCTGTTCAGAG